GATTCAGGTATACTTTACAAACTGGTGATTTTAATTTACTCACTTAATTCTTCTTTCTCTGTAAAGTGGAGTCTCAAGCCAGAATTACTTCAAACAGTACTTTGGTGACTTGGACATGGACACTTATCTTCATTTCTTGGATTTTGAGCCGCAATTTCTCTTTCAAGTAGAGAAAATATAAAACAAGACATGATGAGTAGAATTTCTCATCTCATAATGAAGTAAAAATAAATGTCACATAAAATCTCTAAAGATACTAGAAGACAGCATAAAAATTTATTTCCTAGGATATTTTATTTACTGTCTCAATGGAGTATATTTTAAAAATTTAGAACATATTGTAAACCCGTGGCATAGCTACAGAATCTTCTATTCAGTTATCGTCCTAATTGAGACAATTAACCAAACAAAATACACATTCAAATGAGATATGTATCTAAACCATTTAGAAATAATTAAAAATTATAGATCAGGTTTTCTTTCACTGATCACAAACTATGGTAATGCTTTTGTGGTGCTCATTTCCTGGCTCACTTTTGTGTGTTTATTAAAACACGGTACTGTCAGATCACAGGGAGTATCTTATTTTCATTTTCATATCTCCAATCCTAAAGGGGATTAATTTGTCCAATTAAGCTGTTAATTAAAAAGACTCCTACAGAATGAACTGCAAGCTACCAATTGCATTTTACATTTTCATTGTGCTGTGCTCAAAAGCAATTTCCTAAATTCTTAAGAGATCAAAAAGTTACTGCTTCGTATTTCACTTTTGAAGGTACAGCTGGGATTGCTAGCTGATAGCCAAACCCATTTCCTCTTCTTTTGGAGCGCACAGCTAGACTATATATCCTAACCTCCCCTGTGGTAGGTTTGGCCACATGACTAAGTTCTAGCCAATGGAATATGAGCAGAAGTGACGTAGATAACTTCTAGGCCTCTACCAAACCTTCTACTCAGTATTTCCCATGGCCTCTTCTCCTCCACCAGCTTCTTGAAGGTGAGCATGCATTGAATCATGTCAAGAATGGTGAAATCGAAATATGAAAGGAAAATGGGTCCCTGAATCACCAACTAGAAGAGAGAAGCACACTGATCATTAATATCTACTGTGTATGTAATGAAAACAAGAACTAAACTTCAATTGGATTAAGACATTGAGATGATCTGCTTTAACAGCTAGTGTGATCTTAATAAAGAAAGCAGCTGAACTTGAGGAACATGCAAATACGTACCTAAAACCTAATTGGAAATATTAGCTTCCTTCAAATTTTTATCATACATATAAGTCGAAGCAGAATCAATACCTCTAGTTCTCTGTTAGGGTGGGGAACGTCCAGGCCGCAGGCTGTATAAGGCCTATTAAATCATTTGGTCTGGCCCTGCCAAGGCATTAGGGGTGAGTTAATTAAATGCTTGACCAAATATAGCAGGCTAATTTTTAAGTTAAGTCTGCATGGCCCACAAATGGTGTTGTAAGTATCTAAATGTCACCTGGTAGAAAAAAGGTTCCCCACCCCTGGTCTATATAATCTATCAGATAAACCATAGCAAGATATTCTAAACTCCTGCCCTCATTCCCCCAAAGTCCCTTCCTCCTGTCCATGCCTCAGAGATCACTTATCAACTGACATTTTTATGCATCTTTCCTTCTGCCACTACCCTACACACAAAAATTGTTATTTCAAAGGTCAGTTCACAAACTCTCTAAGAAGAGCATTAACAGGCCATACTCAGTTACTTACTACCCACCAAGTCTGCATCCCATCTGAGGTCTATCTCCTATACATGGATGTTGTTGCACAGCTACTACAAACCATTGCATACTTTCCCAGATCTTAGAACATATTCATGCCAGAAAGATCTTTAAAATAATCAACAGGGTTGGGGGTGGAGGCAGACTGGAGAGGTCAATGGGGGGAAAAGGAGACATATGTAAGACTTTCAACAATAAATATTAAATAAATAATCAACAGGGATTATTTTGTTAATTGAGACAATTAACAAAATACACATTCAAATGAGACATGTATCAAACCCATTTAGAAATAATTAAAATTATAGATTAGGTTTTCTTTCACTGATCACAAATTATGGTAATGCTTTTGTGATGCTCATTTCCTGGCTCACTTTGGTGTGTTTATTAAAACACGGTACTGTCAGATCACAGGGAGTATCTTATTTTCATTTTCTGTACTCGCACTGACAGCTAAACACCAAAATTCACCAGAGAAGTTAGTATGAATGCAATGGTATGCCTCTGGATTTGTCTGGACTCAGGTAAGGCAGTCAAGCTTTTGTTGTCCTGCACCACTGAGTCATTGTCCAGAGGTCGCCAGGGGACAGAAACTTTCCAGTACTTACAGTTCTCTGAAAGTTGCATGGGGCAAAGAGACTCCAGTAGCCTGAAGGCAGCCACCCTAGAAAGCCACAGCTAAGTATAAAAGAAAGCACACAGAAGGTAAGGCTAGGGTGCCCAGTAAAAGGGCTTTTCCCTGTGGTGGTTAACTTGCTCGGAAGCCTCTTTTTTCCTCAATAGGAATATTATTGCATAAGCAATAAGCCACATGTGTTGACTTATGTCCTGGAAAAAAATGCAATGATGACCTCGCAAATCTCTCATTGTCTGTGGATAAACTTACTGCATTCAAAATCCACTTTCCTAAGCCAAGAAACCTAGTTTAGTACAGTGCTTTGTGTACTTTATGGGCAAATATTATTGTCTAAAACAGAACTAAATATGCTAATAGATGTAATATATTTTAATATTCTTTAAAATAAGAGGAAACAGACATTTTTCAACTTTTTATTGTCCTTAAAATGATTGTTCACATTGTTTCACAAGCAGGGGAAGAAAATACAATGACCATTTAGATATAAAATGCATAATCCAAGAACATCTTTCTTTAAAGCAGTGGGGCACTGCCACTGGTGATGAGAATGTTATTGCATGAGATAATCATATATCCTTCTATAATTTAATATAGAACTGAGACATAGTGCTAAAAATATCAAGGACTAAGCCTATCAAATGCTGAGATTATAGAAATATTGATAAAATAAATGTATTTAGAGATGGGTAATCGAAGGGATGAAGGCTAATGCCAAGGTCAGCAGCCAAGACACAGAAGCTCTGCCTTTTCTGACTCTGGAATACTTGACACGTGACTTCAAACCTTTCCACTTCTCTGGCACAAGCACAACCTGTATGGCAAGCCATAGCTCCTACTTGCTTCTTAGCAATGCTCCAGGGCTAAATCAGATAAAAATTTATGTGCTATGCTTTAAGCTCCATTGAGGAAAGGCACTGAATAAACTTCAGGATAATTTATGAATCCTGAGCTTGCATTAATCATGTCCAAATCCACCTCATAAAAGGAAAAAATGGAAATAGGAGGCCAATGCTGTGTGGTTGGTGAAAAGCTCAAGAAACTTTGGGCAATGGTGATAAGCCCAAACAATACCATTTTATATACATGAAATCCTTGACTAATCCAGATTTTCACACACACACACACACACACACACACACACACACACACACACAAACCCAAAAAACCAAAAACAAACTATAACTCCTTCCAATGCCCAGAAATAGTTCACTGGCAGAACATCTGGTATATGAATCAGAGAAGTGTGCTATGGCAGTCCTACTCTGGGATCCAATATCTAATTTCCTTTTAATTTACCATAATTGTTTTTATAAAACTTTATGGCTCTCCTTCAGTGGATGTGCTTAGAGAAGATTGCCAAAATACTGCCTTCTCTTCAGAATCACATTCTTAGGCCAGCTTCTCCTTACTTGTTTCCTTCCTTTCCAATTGCATTTTACCCTCCACCCCTTAACCACTGTCTGCTTCTTTTAGCAATCTGTATTGAAGAGAAGGGACAACAAGAATGTAATCTGAAAACTTAAACACGAGCATGTATTTGGAAATACAATCCAACTAGTACATTGTTCTAGCTAGTAGTGATGATTTGGTACTAATGCTTTGGTTTCATTTTATTTTAATAATGGCCATCCTTTCTAAAATTTCAGTGTAATTGAGTTATATCAAATAGAGTTAACGAGAACAAGGCAGGCTCATCATTTAGAAACTGTGAGGCTCCCAAGTGATCACCAATCAGTTTTTCTAAACCAATAAGTGACTGAACAATTCCCATTTTCAAAGTCATAATTCTATGCTTTTATCAAACACTTTCTCTGACTTGCAGGAATGTGTTTATTTGGAGTTTAAAAAGACAAATGTAGAAGGAAAACGCTTTTCCTAAAAGCATAACAAACCTCAGCTGATTTTAAATGTCCAAGAACAGGAATAAAACAAGGAGTATCTTGTTATGTCTAAAACACAGCAGAATGACTCCTCCAGAGAAAAGGGACATATGTTTCCATCACCCCTAACCTACGAGTGCTTGTTTTTAAAATTACAAACTAATGGCATAGTAAGCCATAGTTAAGAAGAGGAAAAGGTAGCTGCCCTTCAGAAGTTTATCCATTCGGAGAGGAGGAAGTCAAGGGGAAAATCACTCTCCTCTGACTAACACAATATAATTATTTTCCTCATGATGGTACCCCTGTATTTTTCTCCCTTTGAAGTTCCCATGGTTACAAAAGGACATGCCACACACATACACATATATATTTTAAAAGGATGACAAATCACCGGGATGCAAAATGGCCTCCTATAGTTGGTCTGAATTTGTCATTTTGCTTTAGAGATTTTCTCATTGGCCCACTTAATCCAGAATCACATGTACAATGAATAATGTCAACGGAGGGATGGCTATTTTAAGAAACCGTAAATGCCAAGTAACCATTTAAAGGCCATTACAATTTTATCCTGTGCGTGTGTGCGCGCACACACACATGTACACACACATGCACGCACGCACACACACACATACATGCACACTGATAAAAGATATATGAGTTCACTTGAAAGGATAAAGCTCTGAAGCTCAAAACGGTATGGCTCTTCCTTACAGACTCTTTAGAAGAAGACTTGAAGCATAAAAATTATGTTTATTTGAAGTATGCAAAGACTTTTACATTTAATCAATAGATTAGAAAATGACTTCAATCAAGAAATTTTTCAAAAAGGTTTTTTAAGTAAGAGCTAACATTAATTGAGCCCCAACAGAAGCGTACTTTGCGCCCTTCACAATGTAGTGTTTGGCCCTTTGTACTAAAATGGGATGAAAGCGATCTGTTCCTAATGGAAATTCAAACAGCATTTATTCGGTGACCACTAGTTTAAGAAACAGGAAAATGCACATATAGGAGGGTAACAAGACAAACAGCAATTGGACTAAAGAAAAGTGTCTGGCAGACAGACATAATCACTGAGGTTTGAGCAGACTACATCAAATTTTGGAGATTTCATCTCCTAGTGTCCCTGCTGTTACATGAGTAAGAGTTTTGACTTCTTCTGGGACTTAAAAATGTATCCTTTTTTTCCTATTTGATAACTCAAGTCCTTTACCAAGTAGCCTTTCTCCCAGCCTTGTTCATGCTGACTTGAACAGGGCAATCGGCTACATCAGATACAAGCTGTGAGGCCATTTTCATCCCAATAGATTCCAAAGCTAAAGTCAAGAACGTCATCAACAATTACAAAATGAAGATATAACATATTTCTAATGTAATTACCTAAGATTTAATAAATGCTGGGTAATGACAATACATAAAATCTAGTAACGCATTTCACAGAGCAGGAGAACTTCCCAGATATCCAGGAACATGTCCTCTTCGTTTAGGGTTAAAAGTTTAAAAGAGAGAATTTTTTTCTGGATACATTCTACTTAGGCCCCTGCAAATCTGGAGATTAAAATGTTATATACCACTTAGCTGTGGCTGACACACTAAAATGGACAATTGCAATAGTTCAGCAGATAGCGTTTTAACACAAGTAAGTATCCTAGAGATTTTTGTTGGTTTGGTATTTTTAAAGAAACATGCTTGGTTCACTTCTTGCATTCCATTTTTTTAAGCCTTATGACTTTGAAAAGATACTGTTTAGATCCAAGCAATACTCAAATAATGAAGATGCATTAAAAATAAAGGACCTCGGGGGAATACAGGCCTAACGCAGTAGGCGGTGCATGCTCAGTGCAGCCTCTATTGGTGCTGTACAACTCTCAGGATGGCATACACCAGCAGTCCAGCTACCAGAGTCTGCAGGAGTCCGTGCCTCTGTTCATCGTGGAATTGGATGGACAGTTAAAAGCTTTCTGGAATTCTTCAAAGTTGCTAATTGCACCATTGACCCTATAAAAGATATTTAATGTCATTTAATTCTTATATATCAACAGGTTCTGGATAAAAGTGTAGCAGCATATTGATAGAAGGGATGTTGCAGTAATTTAATCTCTGTATAGGACAGATAACTGAAACCCCAAATGTTTAAATAAACTTCCAAAAAAAATTTAACAGAGCTGAGACTAGAACCAGGACCTCCTCAATGCCAGGCAAACAATCCTATCCATCTTCCAAATATTTTCAAATTCCTATGAACTGTAGGATTTACAGTTCCAATATGAGTATAAGATTGCATAATCCTAAAACTTTATAAATGCCTATAAACTATAGAATTTGCCAATATTTAGCTCCTCTATTTCTTTATCTTTTGGGGAAGGTATAACTGATATAAAGTGCATGTCTTAAATGTAAAGCTCATAGTTGTTGGTTTTTCATGTGTATAACATACCCGTAACTATCACTCAGATCAAGACATGAGATATTTCTAGCACCTAGATGGCTCCCTAGTGTGCCCTACCAATAGTACCTCCAAGGAAAGCGACTAGTCTGACTTCTATAGCCATAGATTATTTTTACCTGTTTTTTGAACTTCATATGAATGGAACCACACAGTAGGCACTCTTTTGTCACTGACTTCTTTTATTCAATATTTATGTCTGTAAGATTCAATCATGTTGCTGCTATAACTATCTTTAAATAACCCATTCATTCTACACAAACACTTTCTCTAAATTCCTATTATGTTTGAAGGCTCATATGTATCTAGAATCTGGTTCATGTAACAACACACAAATGAGTGGTGTCTAGTAGTTATTGGTGAGTAATGCTTTAGTGGCATTAACTTTAAAATCTGGGGTTCTTGCAAGTTACCCCAACTGCAGTAAAGGCTGAGGATTCCTACTTAGCACTCTGGTTCTAACTGCCTTGTGGAAGTAGTGCTTCCATTGTGTGATTTCTGCTGTATTCAAAATATATAGTTATTGCAAACAACACTAATAAGCCAGCAAAAAACTTCCTCTCCATTTATTTCTTACTCAACTGACTTGGAGATTCACATTCTCAGTCACTGACTATTTCTTCCCTAATGATTTCTTTACCTATGAGCATCTGAATGAATATAAGGGCCAATATCCAAAAAACATCCCCATAATCTTCTGTGTTTTAGCTGAGATGTGTAGGTAGGGACGTATATTTCATGGTGTGATTCATCCTGGGTAAGTGTTAAAGATAGAATTTAGTTGATAATTAGTAAGTATGCTCTGCAAAATTATCAGCTAAAATCTGACATTACAGGCAACTAGTTAGTAAAAGGAAATTCGTTTCTAAGAACTTATCTGTTGAGTAATTAATCTACCCCATTTGTCAGAGGGCACACATTTTAGTCCATTAGAGACTGTCAGCATTCTTGACAGTTTAGGCTAGTGGGGGAGAATTTCTAACACAATGATTAGATTTATTGGGTAATTTATACTCAATTTCTGAAGCATGTTTAAGGCAAGGTTTTAGGAATAACATTTTAAAATATAGGAGAAATTTTAGATGACTTTCTTGCAATATGCTAATGGACTCATTTAAACATTAAATATAAAAATATACAGATATAATATGTTCTAAGCAAAGAATGAATAAATATTGTTAAGGTTTCCTATATTTCCCATTATAATTCTTGTCCTCTACTATAATTCCCTCAAACCATGTTAGACATCCAGCACAGGCTAAGTAATATTAACTCTGATTTTATTTTTACTTAATATTTTATACATTTGACAATTAAATAAGATTGTTATTCATAATCCTTTTCCCTTCATATGTAAGCAAGTGTTTCAAAATAACATTCAAACTAAAAACCAAAATGTAGAGCTTTTGACTCTAGATATGAATTATAATAGCTTAATATGACCATATATCCTCCTTTGTGTTCAGAGCTATTCAGAAAGTGGCCACTCATTTATGTTTGTTGGTTAGCTACATAAAGAACCAGATGCATTAAATAGATATTCTAGCACAAAATAAACCAGAGCTCTCTGTGTTTTAAGGCACGGTCCGTTAAGATCACATCCTTGTCTAAGAAGAGACTTTTTGGGCCCATGTTTAGTTTCTATTTGGCCAGTATTTTTGCTGTAAAATGGAGATATCACTATTCACAATACAGGCTTAGGTTCAAATCACCTATTTGGTAAAGCACTGAGATGGCTGCATGGGGGGGGGGGGGAGGAGGGAGATGCACATTAAAAACTAGTGTTACCCATTTGCCCTTTTACCTAAACTCAGGAGGGCTGTGAGCACCAATTTGGACTTGTTCTCGGGCAGCTTCCGGTCTGTAGGAATTGCACCTGACCTAGGAGAAAAAAGCATACTGGTAATTAGGTTTCCATTCCAATTACACATTTTCTACTGCTTTAACTGCTCCAAATTACACTGAAGAGTAATTTTAGACTCAGTGGATGAAAGTTTTAGTAAATCAGATAAAACCTTAATCTGTAGTAACATCTATTATTCTAATCCCTGGAGTAGAAGGTTTTATCATTGTAAATAATTCCACAATTTGAGTAAATTAAGAAGGTTTCCAGACAAATGCTATAAATCAAGAGAACGGTACAGGGGTCCTCAAACTTTTTAAACAGGGGGCCAGTTCACTGTCCCTCAGACCATTGGAGGGCCAGACTATAGTTTAAAAAAAAAAACTATGAACAAATACTTATGCACACTGCACATATCTTATTTTGAAGTAAAAAAAAGAACAAAACGGGAACAAATACAATATTTGTATTTGCATGAGGCCCGCAGGCCGTACTTTGAGGACCCCTGGTACGGTATATATGCCCAGGAATCAATCAATGTATTCATTCAATTAATATCATGCTTGGAATACCCCTTATCAAATGTAACCATACTCATTTGAGTCAATAAAATGAATCAACCACCCATTATTGAGTATAGTCATAAGAAGTCAGTTTTTTGCTTGCCCTACCTTAGTCCAGCCCTTGGATAGGAGAACACTTCTCCATTCCTTTGAAGTTAGGTATGGCTATATCACTTGCTCTGACCAATGAAATATAATAAGTAATATATGTCACTACCTAGAGAAGCTTTAAAAACTGGCAGAAGTTTTAAGAGCCTTCAGAACAATTTAAGTTGCTACATTAAGAACCAGTGCACATTCTCATATTTCTTTCCTACTCCTATGGTGACCATGGAAGCACACGTCAAGATAAAGACTCTAAAACCCAGGGCCTTGAGTAAATAACTATGAGCAGAGACCCATTAGTGACCAATGTTGGACATAGAGCATGAACAAGAAATAAACTTCCCTTGTTTAGTTTGTCCCTGCACCATAACCTACTTAATCCTGACTTGAATCATCTCTTAAAACATGATATAGTCTTGAAGTATGAAAAGAACTAGGGCACATGAATATGATTGGGGGGCAATTTAAAGTGGAGGAGAAAAGGGAAGCAAAGATATATTGGCTGAACTGTGGTGCCTAACGGGCAGCAATGGGAGACCAGGGGCGATGGTGCCAGATTTCTGAAATTCTGACCAATACCCTAAAGTGTTTAAACTATACTTAAACACCATTATGAGCAGGAAATGATAAAATCGTATTTTAGAAAGATGTATCTGTCAGGGGCATATAGAAGGAAATTAGAAACTAGTTAGAAGATTATTTCTGTATGGGCCCCAGGAAGGATCCCAATGAATATCCACTAAATGAGTAGAAATGGGAATAGAATAAAGTAGAAAGATAAGAAGATCTGAAGGGGGAAATTGGCAGGTCACAGGAACTACAGGGACATAGAAAGCAGGAAAGGCTATACGATGCTTTGCTTTTCATAAAGATAAACCATGAGTCTCTGTGGTTCTAAATTTAACTTTGAAGATGTTTTTTCTAATATGATTCCTTAATTTCCTCAGAAGATAGCTATTGTGAAGTTGTTTCTGGCACTCCATTTTTCTTATATTCTTACACCAGAGGCCTGGTGCACGACATCCGTGCACTGGGGGGTGGGGGGGGCAGTTTACTCAGCCCAGCCTGCTCCCTCTTGCAATCTGGGACCCCTCAGGGGATGTCTGCCTGCCGCCACCGGCTTAGGCCCCCTCGGCAGGTGGACATCCCCAGAGGGGCCTTAGCACTGCCAAGGAGGCTCCTGCCACAGCTGCTGCTCTTGCCAGCCATGAGCCCGGCTTCTGGCTGAGCGGTGCTCCCCCTGTGGGAGCACACTGATCACCAGGGGTAGCTCCTATGTTGAGCATCTGCCCCCTGGTGGTCAGTGCGTGTCATAGCGATCAGTCATTCCACCGTTTGGTAGATTTACATATTAGCCTTTTATTATATAGGATTATTGTATAGTATTGTCTTTGCTTCCTGTATCATTTAGGATAATGTTAAAAACACATTATGGTTGCTATTGTTTTTCTAGTACCTTCTCAGGAGGGAAAATAACTTTGCTCCCTATAAGCAGACATATTTCAATGTGCACAATATTTAAAATCTCCTCACTCTATAGTAGGAAAAGCTTCAAGATAAATTTCTCATTAGTGATATAAAATGGTTTTCCATGTTTCCTAAATCTCTTCAGTTTAAAAAAATCAGATATGGTTTGGAATTTTATTTGGAGACATTTCAAAAGTATGACTGTAATGTTGCTATCAGTTAATTTCATTCATCTACAAGGAGCTGTTGTGAACTAGAATGTAATTTGATGGACCTTAAGTTAGTAAGTAAGAACCTGAGTAAGAACTGATGGACCCTGCACTTTAGAGTAGGGATCAGCAAACTTTTTCTGTAAAGGGAGAGATAGTAAATATTTTAGGTTTTGCTGACCATAAGATCTCTTTCAACTACTCAACTCTGCTGTTGTAGCAGAAAACCAGGCATGGACAATACGTAAAAGAAAGTGCATGGCTGTTTTCCAATAAAATGGCATTTATAAAAATAGACAGCAGGCCATATTTGGGTCCTAGTTTGCTAATCCCAGCTCTAGAAAGTTCTGACTGTGTGTGTGTGTGTGTGTGTGTGTGTGTGTGTGTGCTTATTTTAGATATATGACCCAGTATTGACCTAAAACAAAGTCTTTTCATTAAACTGTGTTAGTCTTATACTTATGAAGTGTCTTTAATATACCCAGCATCTTTGCTGGGTGCTATGGAGATACATAAGAAATGTAAGGATCCAGAAGTTTAACTATAAAGTTAAACTAGAAGTCTTCAACATTTTGAGAACAGTTAAATATTCAACTACATGGTAATGAAGGTAAGTATAACAGAATCGGAGGTTTACAAAAATGAGAACTGGAGTCCTTGTGGAAGTGTGGATGATGTGGCGGAGGTGGAACTTGACATGGATCCTGAAGGATAAATATGAAATTCAATAATCTGAGGGTAAGGAGTAGACAGAGGGTCACATTATAGAAGGAAAATCAAAATCAAAGCCAAAGAGACAGTAATGGGCATGGCATCATGGAGTGGAAGGGAGGCCACCTCCCAGCAAAAGATGAGTCTGATGGAGCTGTGGGAATTAAGAGCTGGTGGGTAGAGTTGGATAAGACTGAGGACAACTTTTTAGAAAGCTAGATGAAAGTGTTTGGCCTCAATTCGTTAGGACTTGGGAGCCACTGCAGTTCTTTAGCTGGTCAGTAGTGAAATAAAAGTGGTATTTCAGTGGTACGTAAGACAGACAGTGTTGGAAAGATGCTAAAATCTAGAAAACGTGTCATAAAGCTGGTGGAATAATCCAGAGTAGAAAAGATCAAGAACTAGCCTACAGATGACAAAATAGGGTAATGGGGAGAAAGAGAGGCTGAATCTGAAGAGCAGTTAAAAGAATGAAACATCTAGCTTTTGGGGCATATGTCATAAAAAGAAGGATAGATAAATCAAATAAGACCTAAGAATCCAGATTTTCTAAACAGGAAGATGCAAAGACTGAGGGTGGGGGGGGGGGTATTAAAAGAAATGGGAAAACTAAAGAGAAAAGTCATTTTGTTCATGATTACACTTTTGCTGATATTGGGTCAGTAAATGATAATCTATTGAGAGCTGTCATGTCCAGCTTTTAGATATAAAAGACCCCAGACAGGTGAGAGTCACTTAACCAGAGTTAACCGAAGAATACATGGGAATGTACGAACTTACTGAGAGAGAATACTAAGACTTAGGAACCAAAGGTTGTACTGATGAAAACTCTTGTCTAATGCTGAGCATACAGATACACATCTGCCCACTTGTGGCCGTGTGTCAGAACCTTCCACAATGCACCTCTAAGTTTTTGAACATGAGGCCTACACATTTGTGACATAAACCACTGGAAGTTAATAGCAAAGAATTGGCACTTGCTTTATTAGCCAAAGACTGGAACTCAGAATTGTGCCTTATTTAGTGCATGTCTTTCTATTTCTGCTCAGAGAGCCCATTAAACTCACAAAAGAGTTAATGATTCTTCTTGCCTTTATTGTTGTTGTTTTCAGCTCTAATAGTCATCATATATTCATTTGACAGTTCAGACAACCAATGAATGAGTCACTAGAAATGGTTATTAATAGTATCAAATAGTAACATTGAGAAGCCAGGCTATATTACATAAATACCAAGTGATAGTAACCCTTGATTTAAAAAAAAGCCAATAAACTTTGATTCTATCAATTATGTCTCATAGTTGGGGGACTGGGTGAAAAAGGTGAAGGGATTAAGAAAGTACAAATTGCTAGTCCAAAAATAGTTCCAGGGATGTAAAGTACAGCATAGGGAATCCTATATAATAAAAGTGTAGTATGGTACCATCTCACACCTGTCAGAATGGCTATCATCAACAAATCTACAAATGACAAATGCTGGCGAGGATGCGGAGAAAAAGGAACCCTCGTGCACTGCTGGTGGGAATGCAAACTGGTGCTGCCACTATGGAAGACAGTATGGAGTTTTCTCAAAAAGTTAAAAATATAACTCTCATTTGACCCAA